GAATAAGATTCGCGGCTTGCTGTCGATACGACAGCTCTCTGTCTGGCTCCACTCCGCAGCGGCGGGACGGGGTGTTTTCGAGCTGTTCCCGGGTAAAAAACCATTTGGACGATGATCCCCGGCACGCCGCCATTACCGTCCAGCAGACGAACAGAGAACGAGCGTCACGCACGTGCGGCGCCACGTCCTTGACGTACGTCCTACAATGCGGTTCTGCTGGGAACTGTAGTTTTCTCGCTTATATTGTTTAGTATGAAGGAGAATCTTAGGATGTGTTGTGTGTACGAATACTAGGTGGTTTGAGTAATACTTTAAAAAACAAAAATGTTTTATTGAAATCCTTTTGAGTTAATTATTGAAAGCAAACATCAGACTAATTTTGTATCACCTGGCAGACCTTTATTTGTAGGTGTAGGCTATATATGAATCAAATATGGCACATTCTTTGTGGTTTAACAATTTATTTAATGCCATAATTTATTTTAACCAACTATTTGTTACAATTTAACAAACCCTTTTTAAAATGGGAAAGAAAACAGAAAATATATTTTTAGAGAACTGTAGATCTGATAACTATTCTCAAGAGTCAAGATTAGAATCTGTAAAGAAAATTTAAATAGACAGAAGGGTGTCATCCTTAATTAAATATTTTAAAAAATTTAAAAAAGAAAAGCAAATCCAGTAAGGTTTAATTCTCATGACCCAGCTCTCTGGTAACATACTTATGATACACACTGATCAGTCACTCAAACTGTTTTCTTGACAGACCTAAAAATTCCAGAGCATTCCCAGAAAGCAGTTTATCCTAAACAAAAGAGTAAAATAAAGATAAGATGTAAAGTGACGAGCACAGTGTATTTGCAATTTGATGTTTAAAATAAAACCTAGTGTATTCAGATAGACAGACAAATAGATAGATAACTGTTTATCTTACCTTTAGCAAACTATCAAGCCCATCCATGGATTCAATCAGTGCACCTGGCTCCAGTTCCCCCAGTGGAAATGGGTAGTCTGTGCCTAACATCACTTTATCCTGCAAGAAACAGAATACCAAAAAATAAATAGCACATATTAAAAAATCTCAGAGATGTATGTATATTGCTTCACAGTTTTTACTACCAGAATAGAAAGGTCCTGCACATGAAACATCTAGCTTTGCCATTTCATCACTTAGATTTCACTTAGGTAGCTCCTTATATAAATCGCTAACTAAATATTATTGTGCCTCTTCTGTTACAGGGAGATTTAGTATTGCTGTTGATATAAGAATTAAAATAACTACCTTTCCTATGACTTCCATGAGTAACTGGAGTGAAAGTGGGTCGTGCACTAGAGAATCGGTGTAGAAAGATCCGGAGTATTTGCGTGGGTTGATCTTGTTGTCCGTTGCACAAAGATCAGGTCGCACTTTAAAGCCATGCTCAATTCTGCCGATGGTGTATGGGAAAGCACCACCTAGAACCCAAAGTGTGATACCACATCCCTCAAGACAAGTAACGGCAAAAAAAATTAAAAAATCTTTATATTTCAAGGTTCTCACTAAAGTTGTTTTGTAATCCACAAAATGATAAATTGCTATGAATATTTTTACCTCCATGAGCAAAGCAGACCTTAAGTTTGGGAAATCTTTCAAAAACACCTCCAAAAATCATGGAACAAATTGCCATTGTAGTTTCTGTTGGCATACCTGTCAAAAAGTGGAGCCAAACAAAGATTATGACATACTGTACAGTACTAATCTTCCACAAAACCACAAAAGTAATTAAAAACTTTTCATAATAAATTATAAATAATACATTTATATAAAATACAATTTATATAAAATAAAAATATATAATAATAAAAAAATTGTAATCAGATTTTTTTTAAATTTACTAATCAGAATCTGCTATTAAATATAAAAACCTCGACATCACATGCAAGACACTCAGTCAAACCCACCAACTAACCAGGGCAGCCAGTATTTTGCCATTCTACCATCTGTCTGCATGTCCCATGGATGCACAAATATTGAGCATTTGAGTTCCTCAGCGGCCTGTAGTAAGAGGCAAAATATTGATAACAATGCCTTACAAACTGAGACAAAGCTAAATGACTGTTTGACAAAATAATCACAAAGAGACCAAATACTTTAGTGTGACTGTGGCATGGTCTACTAAAAGCAAATGGACTTACAGCATAGACAGGATATAGCTCTGTAGCATTGAGGTCCCATGTGTTTATATGAGAGCCAATTTGCACACCAGGGAATCCGAGCTGATTCACACATCGTCTCATCTCCTGTACTGCCAGATCAGGCGCCTGCATGGGCAGAGTACCCAGCCCAACAAAACGCTTTGGAAATTGCTTTACTGTAGCAGCCAGATCATCATTCAATATCCCACACAGGTCCAGTGTGTCATGGGGTTTGGCCTTTAGAAATGCAGTGGAACATAAAAAAGAATTTAGAAGTAAATGTGGTGAATGTCTATATATAGCACCGTAAGGTACAAAAACTAAAAAGATTTTCTTTGTATCTCATTTAACCCCAAATGGTACATATCAGTACCTTAAAGTACCTAAATAGTACCTAAAGTGTATATATTAGTACCGTTTGACCACCACAATGAAAAACTGTCCCTTTTTTTCTGAGAGTGTATCACTTAAATTCTCATGTTAATTTTCATGTTACGTCTTACCCAGTAGCTGAACATCACAGGTACAGTGGAAAGGGCCTGTACTGTCACTCCTGAAAAAAATGAAAACAAATCTCTGTAATAAATATTAACAATGAAATAAAGTTGAACTGGTCTACAGATAATGTACAAATAATGTAAATAAGAATTTTAAATATAAAACTTGTTTATTTATTAGATAAAAAAAGTATCTGAAAACAAAACATTTTCATTGAGAAATAGCTACTGCTTTACTCTCTTTACCGTGTTTGTCCATATCCTGAATCCGAGCCTCCGCATCCCAGCAGTTCTCCTGAATCACTCGGAACAATTTTCCATCCTTCATCATTTTAGCTTCACCCTGGTACACACAAACCCATGGTGTTTTTTTAACATGAAAATTTTGAAATTTCTGCAGCCATGCACTGGTATTCACATTGCCACATGACAAATTGTATTTTCAGCCACTTGGTGGCAGTGGAGAGCAAGGTCAAATACATACAGTAACTCAATGCAGTGGACTTTAGATTGGGAGCAGGTGCAAAGTTTTTAGCATGACAAGCACATTTTACATCAGCAATCAATGTTCATCTGCAGTTCAGAGAATATGAATTTAATTTCAGAGTGGTAAATTATGATGAAAATATTTGTTACAATTATCTTTATTGCATTCAGTCTATCTTGTTGTTTACTTATTATAAGGTACATTATGTATTAGGCACGGCTGAAATGTAAGATTTATCAAAGTCTACGTGTGGGTGTGTTTATATATGCAGCAGCCCTATTGTTGTGCTCAAGGTGAACCATTTCAGTGTGATATTTTACTGAAGCTAAACCCCATGTGGAGCTCTACAGCTGCTCAGACAGGGAGTGCAGGGAAGGCCTGCTGTCCTCTTTTTCCACACACACAAGCACTCCTGACTGTCCTGCCAAAATTCTCAAGAATGAGTGCTTTCTAGGAAGTCTTGCTCGTTTGGTTTGAAAAGAAAAGCAGTGGAGCCTGACAAGGAATTAATGCAAAAAAACTGGGCTGCTAGAGCTACAGTGACTCACATCAAAATGTTTTAATGAGCAGTTGTGTACATTATTCTTGTGTTTGAGTGTTTCTGTTTTAGAGTTCTTCCTACTGCACCAAAGAACAGAATAGGCTGAGCATCTGAGTAGACCAGAAACCACCCGAGACACCAGCTGAAGCACCGTACAGAACAATTAAATTACTCTAAAGGACTGCAGGTATAAAGAGGCTGACAGAAGCTTTAACATCCTCCTGCTCTGAGTGGAGGATCAGATCTGTCTCTGCTGTCCACTCATTCCTCATGGGGGTCGTAACATACTCTCACACACTCACGCTTTCTCTCTGGAAGAGCTCGCGAGAGATCATGCCAGCTGGATCTATGGCCAAGCATGCAGAACCCTTTCCGTCCAGCTGGTCTTCTTCCACCATCATCCCACTAAACTGCAGACTGAGCTGATTTTCTCCATGAGCAATGATCAGGTGTGTAAAGGGTGTATTAGAATGTTAAACTTACTTTGCAGTGATGGTGGAGCTGAATGAATCCGCCATATCCATATCGCTGTGAAACATGAAGAGAATGCTAAGGTGAATTTTAAGATATCATTTTACATCATAATATTACACTTTTACTATGGCAAATATAAATAAATACATTTGATATACTTTAATGGAAAATAATTTTTGATTTTATTTGCATGTTAAGACATGAGAAATGATTAATAGAGTCTTGCTCAGATAAGCAAGCAATAAAGGTCAGGGTTGGTGATCAAACCCTTTCATTAATGTTTAACAGATGCATACATTTTAAGAGTAAACCTGAAGTAGTGTCTTGTTTAACACTTTTAGCATTGAAAAGACCATTTTAGGTTTAGCCGTTAACATCAACATCTGATAATCTAAAATTGGACATACAGATTTCTTCTTTATATTTAGACATTTCCTGTATATTAAATGCTGGGGAAAAGAGTACAAATGTACAGCTGACCAAAATATATCAAAATCCACTTTGGTAGCCTGTTTATAGAAGCAAGGCAACGTCCAAGTGAAATAATGTAAAAATGTTGACAAATATGTTATGAGCCAGGTAATCTTGCATGGCTAACCTATGATGACACATTATTTAAAGGTAACTTTCATATCTTAAGCAACCTACCTGTTTCAGGTCGGGCCATTCCTTTGGTAAAATATGATTATGAATATCAATCTTCATGCTGCTGACTTTAAGAGCTCAAATTGTAGGCCTGAAGATTTGACAGTCTTGTAAACTTAATGTTCACTGCTGATGCTGGGCAGATTGCGTTTATCTCCGCATCTCTGCTCCTCTACCCTTAATGCTGCCACTGGATGCGACGTGAGATCATATATTGAGGGCTTCATCTGATTTCAGAAAAGAAGAAAGCAAACAAACATGACAGACAGTACGACTTCTGATCCATGCCCTGTTCCCAATCCGACTATTGTGGACCCATCGGCTGTGCGAAACGGACAATGCGCCGCTGCCCAGGATCCGAACCATCCCAAAAGAGGGAGCCAGGGCGATCCTTTCAATGTGGACCGGGACCAGGAGATGAAAATCACAGATAGCGTTGAGGGCCAAGGTAAACACGCCTCATCTCTTTAACATACAACAGATCTGTACTTTTCCTAGAGTTGTTTCAAAAATGCACTTTAAAGTAATTTATTTGGGATATGTTGTGAATAAGACTAAAATGCTGGAGAAGGTTGCAGTCCAGTGGAACACGCAGGCGCTCTAGAAGCTATTAATAATTCATGTGAGCACAAAACACTCACAGTTTAAGTTAAGAAACTGACCAGAGACTAAACAGCCTTTACTGAGTGGCAGATGTTTAGGAGTATAATTTAACAAAATACATTTCAATTTTAAATGAATAGATGGACATTGTTTATTATATAAAATATTGTTCTGTCTGTTTCAGTGGAGCAGCTTTATTTGTTTCATTCAGTTTCGTCACAATGTGTGTCGCATTGATTCTGATACTTCACCACAAAGCGGCTCCATAAGTTTCATGTTTGCAAAAAATATATATATTTTTGTGAATATTCTAAGGTATCGCATATATTTTGTTCATATATTATTATCATAAACTTTGTTACCATATAAAGTCAACGTTGTTGCCAGCAGGGACTCGGCTTGTGTGTATTTATTCCAGTATATCATTCAGAAAGGCTAATCCCTAACAATTACAACAAATTGTGACCTTTATTATAAATTTCTGTATAACTAATTAGTATATATATATATATAGGCTATATTAATATTTATGTGAAGTTGTTAATTTGATGTAATACCTTTGTGAGTTGACAGGAAAGTGGCTATAAATTGTTTGTGTCAAAGCATAAATGAATCAAGATTCAAATGAATGAAAATTGTATTTGCGTGTTTTAATTCTGAATTTTTTTTATTGCAGTCAACTTAGGCATTCATAAGCTTTTTTTAACCTGCATGTGATTGCAAAAAAAGACTACAAAGTTTACATCTGGCCATCTATGATGGTTATGCACCCACTGTAAAAGACTAGAAACTTTGTTTCTGCTACTACTCAAACTGAATCTACGCTGACTCACACCTCCAGTGGAGCTGTTTAGAGGAGCATCTGATCTCATATCAGCACTTCTACTCTTAGAAGCAGCATTAGTCTCTGCACCTGCAGGATCTGAGTGTGGCTGTATGCTGTAGCATCCTCCTGTGCAATCCGTTTGAGTCATTCTCCACTGGTGAAATTGTGGGGGCATTAGAATGAGACTAAGCAACCTAAGAAAAATACAAATTAACGAAGAAGCAGAAATAGGAGATTTAGTTAAAAAGTAGCAGTCTGTTATTTACGGTCTCAGCACTTGGATTATTTATTTATTTCTATTTTTTAAAAATTCATGCTAGTCTACTATTTTGGTATAATTTATTTCAGATAAACCCAACCCTAACGGTCACATAAAAAGAATACAATATGTGGTTAGTCACTTTACATAGCTTAAACAGTCTGTTCCTAAGCGGTTTTTAGACAGAAGCTGCAATGCAGACCAAACTTTATCATTTAGTCAAAAGTCTGTTTGCTCAAGAATTGCAGTTACTTAAAACCGGCATTGGCAGCCATCAGAATGGACAGATAGTTTAGAATAAAACTGGCATTGGCAGCCTTCAGTAAATTCTTGGCACATAAAGTAAGTATAAACTTGAGGCCACCATGACCAGTTGGCACTACTGTTTTAGACTTAAAAAAAAAAAATCTAATTTAGTAATTTTTTTCTGCTTAATCTCAGTGATACAAAGCCATTACGAGGAATGTTTCTCTCTCTTTCATGCAAACCCTATTATGCATGGAAGAAATGTTGGGTCATGTGGATGTCCTGCTTCCACATGATTAGCAGACAGAAGGAGTGGGGGAAAGACCTTTATGTTGAGTTTCGGCTCATTTTATGTGCCTACTGTATAGTCTAGAGTTTGCATGGGAAAGTACAAACTGAGCAAACTCACTGTGTGTAAAGGTTTGTGTAGTAACAGATCTGGATGAACAAAGTTCAGCTTGACTGGAGTGTGTTTTTGGTTCAGAAATGAAATAGTTTGGAACTTATGGGTTACATTTGTGTGAGAGCAAATCATGCTCGCGATCCTGACTAAATCATGTGAGTGGCCACATTCCCCAGCTCTGTTTTTCAGCTCTTGCAATCACACTGACTGACCACCTATTGACTCTGTGCTCATAACCCTCAGCATGTGACTTCCACAGGCCGACAGATCAGTTTGGTGAGCATGGGGGAAGATATACACAACCACCCACTGTCACCATGACATAGCTGCCATTCATTTTGAACAGATGACAGAGGCATATTTGAATTTCACCTCTTTGGCAAACACAGCACAATATGACCATTGCTTGGATGCTACACAATAGACAGTCAACAGGTTCTGCTGATTCTGTTCACTTAGTCTTGTTCATAATTACACTCACGGATTCAATTTGTGACCTGTGGTGTAGAATTTATCTCTAATAATGCCTTGATAAAGACTCTGTTGAGGGACACAGATATCGTTTCCTCAGTCAAGGCTGTTTCTGCCTCAGAGTGAAATATAAAAAGATACGTGTGAGGCAAAGTTGAAAATAATGACACTTTCAAAAGTTTGGGGTCAGTAAGATTTTTTTCATTCAACACTTTTATTCAGCAAAGATGTTAAATTGATCAAAAGTGACAGTAAAGACATTTATAATATTACAAAAGTTTTCTGTTTTGAATAAAGGCTGTTCTTTTGAACATCCTGTTTATAAAAGAATCCTGAAAAAAATGTGTTATGGTTTCCACAAAAATATTAAGCAGCACAACTGTTTTCAACATTGGTTATAATTAGTAATGTCTCTTGAGCAGCAAATCAGCAAATTGGAATGATTTCTGAAAGATCATGTGACACTGAAGACTGGCGTAATGATGCTGGAAATTCAGCTTTGCATTCACAGGAATAAAATACATTTTAAAACGTATTTAAAAAGTTATCTTAAATTGCAATGTATTTTGTGATATTAGACTGTTTTGTGTATTTTTGATAAAAATGAACGCCTTGGTGAGCATAAAATAATTGTCAAAAATAAAAAATCTTACGAACCCCAAACTTTTGAATGATACTGTACATTGTGTGATATGAAGTCAAACGGCAAGATATAAATTCATTGTGATATATAAAGTCACAAATACATTTTAATATGTTTAATTTACTCTTTGTTTCTTTTTTATTTTACTCTGAGGTGGATCTTCCAATAGCTAAAGATCTCCCAGGGCTGCTAGCTACAGCTTTTAAAGTCATATCCTTTGTGACTTAATACATGATAAACAGAATTTATTAGTGGCACCTAAATCTTGTTGAAACCATATTGCTCTGCTAATTAAACACAGAGCCGATGCCCCTCTGACAGTGCAGATTCTTTTCTGCTCATCTTTGTGTCTGACATAAAGCTCTTTAATATTGCTACCCACCTCAGGCTCAATGCCTGTCATGGTCTAGTGAGTAAATAATCAGCCTGTTGTTTGTTCTCCTAGTGCACTTAATTTAATCGTATGGCCTTTAACCAGTGTTTTATTTACTCTTTTGACAGGTCTCTTGGAGAGCAGCATGCGCCTGAAGCCTCATGAAGCTCAGAGTTACAGGAAGAAAGCTTTGTGGGTGTCCTGGATCTCCATTGTGGTGACGCTCATCTTGGCTGTGGCAGGCTTCAGTAAGTTCACGGTGATGCTTTTCCTGGCTGTGGCAGGCAGGCAGCCTTCAGGATGTTCCGTTGGTTTAGGTTAGAAGTAATCTCAATCACCCACAGACCGCCCACAGTCTGTTAACTGACTGACTGTGCATATTACACACAAAACTGGAAAATACTACTTTCTCAGTCTGGCAAGCTTCAGTCTGATTGGCTTACTGAATTATGATTTCTCTGATTACACATTTTCAGTACAACCGTTTGCAGTGATGTCTCTGTAAAAAAATTTTTTCATGTCTATTTTTATTTTCAGTCTATTACTGTGGTATATTGAAATTAAGATAAATTAAATGGTCCCTAAATAGCACATTACATTTCAGTTAAATATCTTCCTAAGTGGGCCGTTGTTGGCTTAAATAAGCTGCAATGTGGACCAGACCTTATGCTGTTGAGTCAAAGCCCTGGCTAGCTTCAACTGCCAGTGGCATCCATCAGGATGGGCAGCTAGTTGAGACTAGAACTGGCAGAGCCAGTCTTCAGTAAATTCAAGTTTAGGCTAGAACTGGTCACTGTGATCAAGTGTAGGCAGTCCGAATAGTTGGCACTACTGAGTTATAGTTTTTAAATATTTTGGGTTTTACTAGTAGTTGAGGTGTGCTTTGGTAATTACAGGAAACCTTTTTTCCATTATATTGATAATACTAGTGTCAGACTCTGTTCCGTGTGTTTTGCTCCCCATGTGTTTCCATCCCCTTATTTGGTTTTCCTGTTCCTGCTCCCTGATTGTTTCCCATTTGTTTCCAGCTGTGTTTTCCCTCATGTTATTGTGTTTCATTAGTTCCAGGTGTTTCTCGTCATGTCTTGTGTATTTAAAGTGTTCCCGGTTCTTAGTTCTTTGTCTGGTGTTGTATGTGTCAAACTTCTCAGCTACGTGTGGTTTTCCTGGTTCCCGTGAAGTCATTAAACTCTCCTTATTGATATGCTCCTTGTTCTGAGCTCCAACACAGTAGCAACGTGACAGTTAGTCACCCAAACACTGCACATTTCGCATGTCTCCTTAAACAAACACACCTGATTCAGGTCATCAGCTCATTAGTAGAGACTCCAAGACCTGAAATTGGTGTGTCAGAGAAAGGAGACATGCAAAATGTGCAGTGTTGAGGTGCCTCCAGGACCAGGGTTGGGAACCACTGAGTTAGAAGACAAAGATTTCATGATAAAGATTTAATGGAGCAGAGGTTTTTGCTTCCGGAGTTAAACACATTTTGTATTTGTTTTTGTATTTTTTTTGGTTAGAAAATAGACAGTTACATTTGTTTATTTTTTATACCCGAGGTATAAAATAATAAACAAACAAATAAAAAATAAATAGTAATAAAAAATATATTTTTTTGATATTATGTAATAATTAATTAATTAATTTGTATTTTTATCTATTTATTTGTATTTTTATCTATTTATAAATATTATGCAATAAAGTAACGTAAGAGTAAAGTAAGAGTTTTTTCCTAAAAATTTATTGATAAAGCATACAAAGTTTCTGTGAAACCTACTTCAAGTGATATTCCAAAAATCAATTTACCTTAAATGTGTGCTTTTTGTCAGGTGAAAACTTTTAAAGCAGAAAACATCAGCACCTGCTGCTATTTAAAGCTAATGTGTGTAATTTATTCAGTGTTAAAACACTCTTGCTATGCAAGCTTAATACATGGAGACAACTATATTTAAGCCATTTATAGATTGAATTGCTATACAGTTTAAGATGTGGCAATGTGCCACAACATTGGTCTGAACGGTCCAGCGTTGATGTTCTCAGAAAGAAATTACACAATGTATAAAAAAGTTGTATGCGTACAGTTTTGTAGTTTTTGTGGTTCTTTGTTTTTTAGTATATCGCTCTCTTTTTTGTATATGTTCAGTAATGGTCTGCATTGATTCTTTATTGGGAATTTTTTTCTTGCCTCTGTTGTCTTTAATTTGTATGGTCTTAAAAAAATACAAATTAAAGGTTTCTCAGATTTTTCAAATTATGTAATAAATAAAAAGTAACAGTTGTTTGGGGAATTTAGTACAATGAAAAATAAATGGCAATTATTAATGCATGTTTTAATTATAATATCATACATATTATTTTTCACATGCCTTATAGATTTATAGCTGCCTTTAAAACTTAGGAGGGTGTCAGTTTCAATGGGATCCTTGGCATTAAAACATTCTTGATTTTAGCCTCTTAACTCCTCATGAGACTGAGGCAAAATGCAGCAAAGGAATGTTGCTAATTTTAAAGGGGGTGGATGTAACATTTGTGCAGCAGATGCTCATTTAAAATATCAAAGCTCACTGACATCTATACAGTTGATCTGAGAACTGACAAGCAACTTTGTTTCTTTGATGCTTTTTCTGTCTTCACACCCTTGATTTAGAGATAACTAGGACTAGGACAAAAAATAAATGTGGTTTCAATATATCATATTGAAACACAGTATAGAATATGAAGATAAAGCCTTTTTGCACATGCACAAAGATGAAGCGAAGGAGTAAATGTAAAGGGTTTACAGGACGTTTCAGTATTTGCTTGCCAGATGACGATGACTCCCCAGCTTATGAGTCTTGTTTACTGCCAACACTCTTAAAAATAAAGGTGCTTCAAAAGGTTCTTCAAGCGATGCCATAGAAGAACCATTTTTGGTTCCACAAAGAACCATTCAGTCACAGGTTCTTGAAAGAACCATCTCTTTCTTACCTTTTTATAATCTGAAGAACCTTCTTTCACCACAAAGAACCTTTTGTCAAACAGAAAGGTTCTTCAGATTTTAAAGGTTCTTTATGGAACCATTTAGACAAAAAGGTTCTTCTATGGCATCGTGAAGCACCTTTATTTTTAAGAGTGAAGGTTTCTTCTTCATTCTATCTAATCATCTTAATTTTTGCCTTTGTCTCAATCATTAAAGGTTGCAAGGCATTATTCTATGTAAAGCTGCGTTGGTATGGAACCATATGTCTTGTGAAAAGAGCAGGTAAAATTGAATTGAGAAGGAATTGTTTGAGAGTGAAAGCTGAGAAAAATGAAGATTTATACCATGACCCTGTAATGAAGGCAAAGAGCAATTTCTCATCCCAGAGGGACTGTAGCTTTTAGGTTTTTATATTTATCTACCTACATTCACCTCTACCTCTCAAACACACACACCTGAAACCATACTTACACATGCTTTGTCATTACATCATCCCTGTCTATTTTTAATCTTTATGTCATAGGCTAACATGATGATTAACAGAGAAAAGGAAGTTGGCAGAGGAAGCAGACAGTGTGCTTATCACGAGTTGTCTTCAGTGATAAAGTGTATGGTTGTCGGACATTTGACATGACAATACTCACTGTGTTATCAACGACCGTGAACTTTGCAAAAGCTGCAACATTGACTGTGACTTCAGTTTGTACCAGTTGATTTCATTGTAAAGCCCATGGCTCAGCTGTCCACGAGCAATCTGAATGTCTCATGCTAAACAGAATGTATGGTGTGTCCTCTGTGTTTTGTAACATGTAATGATGCAGCAGTCACTACACTGTCACTCTTATATCGCACAGTCACACTTACACTGTAAAGAATCGTTCTTCACCGAACAGACATCATATGACTCTCGTGATGCCAGGGGTGTGGGGCTTGTGACCGTCTTTGGATTCTGAGGAGATGAACACCCAGCTTTGTTTTTGTGGTTTGGAATACTTTTTCAGATATTTCATGCAAGTGAGTTGGGAAACCATATGATATGCTGGATCTGAAAACATTCTCACAGAAACTCTTGGGAAAATATATTATAAAAAATGTGTTCAGGCAATGCCGCTCATTTGGAAAGCTCCAAGATTTATTGAGGCTTACAGCAGGAACTGTTTGCATGCTCTACTAACTTTACATTCAGTGTCAGTCAAGATATTCTCTAGTCTAGTGGAACATTTCAGCAATTGTTAAAGTGATAGTTAATTCAAAAATGAAGATTCTGTCATCATGTACTCACTCTCATGTCTTATTAAACTTCTATGATTTTCTTACTCCCATGGAACACAAAATAATTTGACTGATGTGAGGACTGGAGCTTTCAAGCTTCAAAAAATGATGCACAAGCACCATAACAGTATCATAAACATGGTCCATCTTATACATTCAGAATATTCGGAGTCATCCAAAACCATACGATAGCTTTGTGTGATGAACAGACTGAAGTTTCAAAGTTGTTATTCAGTGATAATCATATTGAGTTATGTTGTTGATCATTGAATCAGTGAAATGACCTTGAGAACTGAATTTTTGTGATTTGGATTGACGATTCATTGACCAGATCTGACTCACAAGAAAGATATATTTTTTTAATTGGATATTGCTACTTCTCTTAAGTAAACTTATCTTTACTGAGACGTTCGCTTCTCAGTAAGTGATGGCAAAGTTTGAGTAATTTTCATCTTTTAAGGAAAGGATTAAATAAGAGAAATGTTTCTCTCAAGTCACACTAAATTACTTACTGTTAATGAACAGTATTTGAAACAATTCTTTTATTACAGTTTTTTTTCCATGACTAATTTATTTGATCCTTTAAGTTACACACATCTACAGCAGCATAAATCCCCTTGTTCTACTTAAATGTCTCATTTGTTCTCATATATTTTTAAAGAGAGCTGAAAACTCTTATCTAAGGCAGTATTTGTGTGAAGATTTAAGTCTTCCTTTGTACTTATTTTAGATTTGGTGGAATATATATGATGTTTCTCATTAGGAAATTGTATTCTCCACTCCAGTCTTGTTTAGTAGTTCAGCTGAATAGACTAGCATGAAAATGCATTGTTAACATGCCTTTAACATGTGATATGTGTGCAAGCCTTTACTTGCCTGTATATTTGGCATAAAGGATTAGTAATGCTAAACAGTGCATTTTTTTGGCAGTTAGATACAGATGAAATGTAATATTTGTGCTGTTTCTTCAGTCAGATACTGCATAATTAGATGCTGCGTAAAAGATTTCTGTTGTCA